CCTGTATATATATATATATATATATATATATATTTTTTTTTTTTTTTTTCGGGATATAAAATTTAACTATTTTTACGATGTTTTACGAAAATAAATCTAAACCTGTTAAGTGCTAAAACATTTAATCAAATTTGTCAAATTATACTATTAAATAAAACATCGGAGATAAATGCAGTTAATAAAATTTAAAAGCGTGAGTTTTCTTCTTTAATTTATGAACAAGCAGATTATAGATTACGATTTTTCATTCCTGAGTTATTTAATGATAAAATAAAAATAGTACTTTGATTTGATTGTTTACAATATAATATTGTTTTTTTATGGTTTCGCCTTCTGGATCTCTCGTATTCGACAACATTTCAAATTTGCGCATTTTTTAATTTTTTGCACTTTTTGTACTTATTCTGAAAAATCCGAATTAAATAAGTACGTTTGATTAGTCTCTGAGTCATATTACGTGAGAAATAGAAGCGGCGGCTAAACAGTTATTGAGTCGTACTACGACCTTAATTCTTCGGTTAGAGAGAAACCTGAGAACGGCCACGCTATACATTTTGGACGACACCGATTATTACACTGGTTCAATGCGCCATCTGCATCCATTATTGAAGTGGAACTATGTTTCCTACGCCCATTTTCAGACGCTGCCGGTAAAATATTGATTTGGTGCGTGTCCGTTTACGCATACTGGCGATTCGTGTCCGCGCTAAAGGCCGTGGCACACAAAAAAATTTAAGCAGTAAGACGTAAGCAGTAAGCAAGTTGACCAATCACAGTCGTTGATTCTTGGACCTTGAAGTGTCATCTACAATATGCGGAGTAAGCTTGGAGTAAGAAGTAAATCGTAAGAATTGGCCAATCGTAATCGATTATTATAAAAATAATCGTCTATGATTGGTTAATTCTTATGGCTTACTTTTTACTCCAAGCTTATTCTGCATATTGTAGACGACGCTTAAGAAGAATCAATGACTGTGATTGGTCAATTTGCTTACTGCTTACGTTTTACTGCTTAAGTTTTTCTATATGCCACCAGCTTAAGCACATAACTGTGTGATTAAGAACATGGACAGTCCATGTTTTTCTCTGCTCTCAGGTTTCTTTCTTGATGCTTTCCAGCTACATTAATCCCGACCTACAATAGGTGATTTAAGCCCTAAATTTTAAAAAATTGACCAATTACAATCAAATTTGAGGAGAATAATCGACTATGATTGGTCAGTTTCTTAAGGCTTAAAGCTTATTACACCTAGGTTGGATAAGATATGTAAGGATTGGGTAATGGTTCCTGCACACAGGACGCGGTAATGCTTGCCGCGCGGTT